AAATACATAAGTTGCCACCTGACCTATGGCCCAAATCCTTGTTACACACTTTCTAGGAACGAATATTACTTTACACACCCAAACTTTCAAAAGTGTATCTAAGACACACCACTTTTTTCTTAACCAGTTTTTCAGAATATGTGTAATATCATGTACCAATAAAGTCATGACACATGTCCTAACTCAAGGAACAAAAAATTAAAATACTAAATTTACACTACAATTGATATATTTAAAAGAAAAAACGGAAAACCACCCCCTCCCCCTCCCCTACGTCTCTCATCTTATTTAAACTCACACACCAAGCCTCCTCTAAACTCCATGGAAATACCCACCAAGCCTCCTCTAAACTCCCACAGCCATGGAAATACCCACCAGAAAAAAAAATATTCAAATGAATCAAGTGTTGGCCATGGCAACCACCACTATCGCCATGGCCAATATTCACATAGATCTATCACATGGTGCTTTAAGTATTGGCCATGGTAGCCACCACTATCGTCATTAATTTTTAGAGCAAAACCTACACTATAAACCCTTTCTTCACACCCATTCAAAAAAATAAATTTTTGAAGTCAGAAAAAATCAGCAGATCTAAAAACAAAATTATGAAAAAAAATGGAGAAATCAGTCACTGATTTAATTAGCAGATCTAAAAATATTTAAACTTGAAGGAGATGACTAATTAATTTGAAACTTGTACCTAGCTCTAAAACTATTTTTGTNTGTTTCAGAGTTTAATTAATGGAGATGACAAAGTAGGTGTCCAGGGGAAGAAGAAAACGGGTGGAGGGTATATGGAAAAAAGACCAAATTATTTGGAGATGACATAATTAAAAATAGAAAAGAAAAAAATAACAAAGGCTAGGGACATGTGGCATTTAGATAATGGTTTAGACCCGAAAGTTTTACATTCACTCGCCTCTTTTTTGTATAAAACACGCGCGTGTCAGCTGCCAAAAGTGGTGTGTCTTAGATATACTTTGGAAAGGTTGGGTGTGTAAAGTAATATTCGTCCCTAGAAAGTGTGTAACAGGGATTTGGGCCATAGGTCAGGTGACAACTTATGTATTTTGCCAAAATGAAAGAATCCCAAAGTCAAGTGCCCATAAAGGCAGAATAAGATGAAAAGGACAAAGTCCCACACGAGCGAACCTCATGTGCAATTTTGGAAGTCGAGGTCCTCGGTTTTTGAAGAGAGATCGATCTCCAGAAAGCCAGCAAGCAGCAAAGGTTCTCATCAAAAGAGTTGGGCCGAGATTAAGGGATCACAACAATCAAGGCCACAAAACCAACCATCGTTTCAAACTAACAATTGTTCTTTATTTGAAAACCTAAAACAGGTGCAATCCAAAGCAACCTTGCAAGAAGCAGGTGCAACCAAAAAAAAATGCGCAAGTGCTAGGAACAGCTTTGCAGCAACAATCCATAAAAAGGAAGTCCCCTTTTCAAAATTCTTTCCTGCATTCATTCATTCTATCAAAATAAAAATTAATAATAAGAAGAAAAATTCAAAAAAAATGGTACCATAGGACCCCCGATCTCTATTTTTACGTTTTTCCAACATAGGGTCTCCACTCCCTAGTTGAGATTTTAGACATAGGGTCTCCTCTCCCTAGTCGCCTTTTGCCAACATAGAGTCTCCACTCCCTAGTTGAGATTATTTTAGACATAGGATCTCCACTCCCTAGTCGCCTTTTGCCAACATAGAGTCTCCACTCCCTAGTTGAGATTATTTTAGACATAGGGTCTCCACTCCCTAGTCGCCTTTTGCCAACATAGGGTCTCCACTCCCTTGTTGATTTTTAGTATAGATATAGGGCTCCACTCCCTAATCTCTTTCCCAATGATACATAATCCTGATATTTATTGCTTCCAATGAAGAAATAGTTTAGATTGTTGTTACAAATAACTCACGAAATTTTCCTAGTGAAAACTAGGGCAGAAAAATTTCGTTCGTTTGCTTGTTTTGGTGTCTGAGCAGGTTTTACCTCGAGGCACAGGGTTCGAGATGACCAAAAGAATGAGTCTCAATCCAGAATAAAGAAAAAAAGAAAAAGAGCAAAAAGAAGTGAACTCAAAGTGTTGTAGCGGAGAAAGATGCGGACTGCTCAAGATATGATTGAAGTCACAAGCTTCGCATGTCCCGCCTTGATCCAAAGCTGAAGAATGAACTGGAGGCTACAACTGACGAGCATCAAGATTCAGATCGGAGTCTACAACAAGAACCATCTAAGACTCAAGATCAAGCTTCAAAAGATTTATAGATAAGAATCTTATAACTCGTAGTGGATAGGCTTAGTTAGTTTAGTTTTTATTTTTCATTTTGGTGTAATAAGGAGTTCAACAAGCAGTAGTAGTAGTGAAGTCACAGGCTCACAACTTCCTGGTAGTCCCAGCTACCAAAACTTCCAGAACTACACTGGCCTGATTCCTTTATAGCCAAGGATATGTAAGCAACTTCTGAAGCAAGGTTCGGTCAGGCTCTTTTGAAAACTTTTCTCATGGAGTTTCAAATGGGCAAAAATCCCTCGTAATTGCTCATTTTATCTTTGCCTGAAAATCCTTCGTGTCTCCGAGCAAAGAGGGGCAACTGTGAGTACGTGATTTTTGTCCCACATGAATTACTCCTACAGAATTCCAGAGAATTAGATTTTTTCTTTTAATTGTTTGTCATTTTAGGAATTATTGTAGAATTGTCTTAATTATTTGCATTTTTCTGTGCATATTTAATTTTATGAAAACACAAAAATACTTGGCATTTGCATTTAGGATTTAATTTTATATTTTTTTAGATTAATTAATAAATTAGTTATTTTACAAAATAAAAAATCACAAAAAATAACTCACTTTGCATTTTACCTTTTTTGTTTTGAATTTTATGGTTTTTCTCTTAATTTAGGAGTTATTTAATTTTTGTAAATGCTATGAATAGTAATTAGTTTAATTTGGTAATTAATTTGGTTTTAAGAGTTAATTTAGGTTTTAATTTTAATTTGAAAAGAAAAGGAAATTTGAAATTGAAAAAGAAAAGAAAAGAAAATGAAGGAAGGCTGATTTTTGGGCTATTAAATTTCCCCATGACCCAATCCAATTTCCCCCAAGAGACCCGTTCAATCCATCCCATACTCGGTCTGCCCGTTTAAATTAACCAAACGACGCCGTTTGGAGTTCGACCACTTAACCTCGATCACAGCCTTCCGTCCCATCTCATCCAACAGCCACAACATCAATGTTGCAGTAGAGTTTAACCACTGCGTTCATGATGGATTTAAGAGATTCCTCTACGCATAAGACAATAGAATATATCGAACCATGAATGAAAAAAGGCAAGAATAAAAACATATGACAAGTAATTTTATAATTGAGGGAGTTGTGGTTCTACTACGGGTCGTTACTTATAATTTTATCCTAATATCTAACTTATAGCAAATCATACTAACTAAGATTAAGAAAGAATTAAAATAATTTTTTTAGCAAAAAAATAGTACTTGAATATGAAAATGTTAGGAACAAAGAATCTCAAATGATGTACGACTTTAAATCATTTACTACTACTTAGATAGATGAATGAAACATCATCAGTCGTAATCTCTGCCCTCGAGCCTCCTTTTATCCTCATCCAGACAACTTCCCCTTACTCATTTCTAGGCCGAAGATTGACTTCAAGTGTATTGACTTCAAGGATCTTGGTTTTACTCATTTCTAGGCCGAAGATGACATCTATTAGACGTTGATTAGTGAGTTAGCTGTATGATTCAACCTGCATCGCAAACAAGTGGACCATGGCTTGACCCTTTGTTGGGATCCACCTTGTTGTTCAATGCCATCTTAGGTGTGCCAAGACCAAGGAATTTATATATCAATTTTGTGGGAGCCCGAGCTAGCTTGTGAGTTGATTGAGCTGCCTCTGGTGTTGTCTCTAGGGAAGTAAGTTGAAGATGAGAATAAAAGTTGTGTATCACTGCATTATCTTTGTCTATGAGTGTACATGCAAATCTTGATTTGACTAGTTGTGGCCTTCATTCTCATTTTTATTCTTCATGTTCTCTATATATAATGAAAGCTCTCAAGTCTCATTTTTTTCCTTTTTCGTGATTCAGAGTGTTGTGGCCTTGTTGGTAATGACACAACTATAACATGTCGTTGGCAGATAACAATGGCCAAAAGCAGTGATGATTATATCTTGTCGAAGTTGACTTGACCACATATGATTTTTCTTGGCGGTAATATCGACATCAATAAGAGCTGTGGTGATTGTGTTTATGCTCGAAGGTATACCATAACATGCAAAGGTAGCCTAAGAGGTACATTAACTTCACCATAAATAGTAATTCCATGATTCGAGATATAAAGTGAAAAAAAAAAAGATGTTTGATTAGAGGTTTGAATAATATGACCTTCTAATTTTTTTTGTTTTCATATTAAAAGGAGAAATGCGAATGGAAGGTGTTAAACTTTTTATCATCTTGGTCGAGCTATTTTTTTTACCAGACCTGCCCTATCATATTGTTGTCGTAGTAGAGTTTAAATACCGATTCCAGAATAGATTTGTGTGGTTCCTATACACCTAAGGTGCCAGAATATATCAACCATGAATAAAGGAAAAAACGCATATTAATAAGTGCTTGCAAGGCCAAACGAGCTCAGATTTTACTATAAGTCATTCCTTGCAACGTCCTAGCATCTACCTTCGAGTTGACACTTACTCTAAATTAAGTTATGATAATTTTATAGCAACGCATATTTTTCCGTTCCAATTTCTTGGAGGTCATCAAAGGAACCTTATAACAACACATACTAGTTAAGAAAATGACAAAAAATAAAGTTTTGGGCATAAATATGGACCTAAAGGTGAAAAAAGAAACATAGAGAAACTCAAATGATGTACGACCTTAGATCATTTGTTCATTACTACTAGGATGGATGAATGAAATTCCATCAACCACAATCTCTACCTTCAGGCCTTTTTTTGTCCTCATCTAAACACCTTCCCCCACTCTCGCAACCTCCAAAACCAAAACTCCCCACAACAGGTGTGTATTGACTTCAATTTTAAATAAAGACAGACTATGTACAAACTACACTTGTAACTCTTATTGGAGGGAAGAGGAAAAAAAAATACGGAGCAGTGAATTAATTCCACCACCATCCCCTTTCCCTTCTCTCTCTCTCTCTCTCCTTAGCTTGAAGAACAAGAGTTTGAGTTTAGTACTAGCAACTCAAGAACTGTACAAATTTAACCGAATCTTCCTTCTTCTCCCCACCCCAACCCAAACCCCCTTTTTCTACCCACCCCTTTTCCTCATATCCCCAAATTCTCTTAAAAATTGAGTCTTTTTTTGTTCTCTCCCTTCCATGATACTTCACCATGTCCAAAATGAAGCATTTACTCCGTAAACTTCATATCGGCGGTGGTGTAGCCGATCAGCATCCCCACCACCCTCCTCATCACACCCCTCCTCCTCCACCTCATCAGTCTCCTCCGCCTTTGCTTGATCCGAATCAGCAAACAACGAACCGGTTTGAGCAATCTGGGTCAACTTCATCTGTGTCCCCGACACAATCTGGGTCAACTTCATCTGTGTCCCCGACACAATCTGGGTCAACTTCATCCGCATTGGCTAGAGCCGCGGCTGAGTCGAATTCGGGTTCGGTTTCAGATTCTGCTGACTTTAATTACTTTGAGGAGGAGTTTCAGGTTCAATTGGCTTTGGCGATCAGTGTTTCTGACCCGAATTCTCGTGAAGATCCAGAAACGGCCCAGATCAAAGCTGCACAAGAGATTAGCTTGGGCTGTTCCCCTTTGGAAAATCCTGTTGAGTTCCTTTCACTTCGTTATTGGGTATGAATCAATCATCCTTTTGGTTTTCCTTATTGCTTTTGCAAATTCTCAATTTAGGTTTAATTTCAACATTTTTGCTTATGGATGGAAAAAATACTGAAACTCTGCTTCTTCCTAATTGGCCACATAAATTATCTAAAATTAGACTGCCTGACCTTTTTTGTTATTATTTAGGGGACAAGGTAAGGGGATAGTGAGAATCAAATCACACCTATTGAACGAAAGACCCCACCGATACTACTCGGCTATACGCGTCTTTCATAATTGGGCTGCTTGAACTTGTGCTTCTAGATAGCATCTAAATCATAGGCCTCTGGTAATAGGATCAAGCTATAAATCCCAGAAATTTGAACTTGACAGCCAATTAAATTATCTTAAAATTGGAAATTAGGCTTTATATTTGAAGCTCTATTCATTTCATTGTAAGTGCTCTAGCTACACAGACCTCATCTCCACCTTACCCATGTTCCTTGTGTTTGCTTAGATGTATGATGTAAGCATCAATCCCACCGACCCCGGGGAATGCATCTTGAATGGATTTTAACCTACATTCTTGTAGCAACATCTAATTTTTGTTTTGTGTACGTGTCTTGTCCTAAAAACCTTTTAATTCAATCTATTTCCCTTTAATATCGCCTCGTATAAAATCTTTTAGTATCCCCTATAAGAAGACAATGAGTGTAGGTTCCAACTATGAACTATGGGGTTGATCTAGTTGCTATTAATCACTTTCCTCCAAAGCCTTTAGGCTAACTAGCTATTTCAAGTAACTAGATAGTAGATTCCACAAAAGTTAGATATCCCTTTTAATGCATCAATCGACTGGGATCTTGTTACATTTAAGTTTTAGATTACCTCATTATAAATGCTCTATCTTGTAATCGTTGTCGTGTTAATTGAAGCGTTATCCATCCACCTACATTTTGTATTTTATTGAGCCATTAATGAGAACCCCCACCTATGCACGACTCTTAATTTTTTGGTTGGATTCAAATACTTTTTTGATAAAGTATCCTTTAATTGTGAATTCTGCAATAAAGCAACAAAAGTAGTTTCTAGCTATTTGACTATCACTGGTGGTGTTTTATTAACCCGATTTGAAACTTACAATTGCATGTATTACATTCCACTAAAAATGCTTTACAAGTTTTAAGTGAAAACAACTTGATTCATAACTAAAATTAAAAATAGCCAGCCTAACAAAATAACATGTCTTTAAAGTAAATTAGTATGTTAATGTTTTTAAAAGATTGTTTGAAAATATACAGATGCTAAAAGCTTATAAGTATGTCAGATATTAAGAAGTGAACAAAACTTAACATTTTGGTTCCGAGTTTCCTTTTGTACATAGAAGGAGATAGCTACACTTTACATTCAAAAGTAACGTGCAGCCAATGCTTCTTAATGTTTCAGCTCCGAAATTAGATCATTTGAGTACTCATAAATATGAACCTGTAGAGGTTATTTCAGATTTAGTATAGTCAAACAGCCCCTTGTAACAATTAAAAATATACTGATAAAAAAACAATTAACAATATAAGCTTGGAGGTCAATTTAAATTACATTCTTCATCTTTCGTGACAACACAATCATTTCATGGAACTAAATAGATGCTTTATGAACCATTTTAATTAGGCGTTATCTAGAATGTAGAATTTATTAGGTATTTATGTTTAGCGACGCCTAGTATCTTCATGTGGGTTTGACTTAGTTTATCCTTTTGATAACTGAAAAATATCCCTTGGCCAGTGGCACACATTTTGAAACTCGGTGGATAATGCTCACCTCTCTACCCTTCTCCACTTAAATATTAGGCTTTTATTTGTGAAATTGTGGCATAGTTCAAGCTCGTGATGTGCGCCTAACCTACATCACATGATTTATTCTTTTTTTTTTTTTTTGATTTGCACCGGGTGTCCGAGTCTCTAAGAGCCTCCCGACTAATCCCGGGGGTGCACTCACATGATTTATTCTTACGACAAAAGCCTAGGGGCATGTGGGTTTGACTTAGTTATGTTAAACATATGACATTCTCTACCTTAGTCTTTTTGGCTAGAACTATTAGGAGCAGTGAATTTTGTAAAGTAGGTTCAAATGATTCAATTTGATTGAAATTCAAATTTTTGAACATTAAAAACATATTACCCAAGCCTAAGGTTGGTTTACTCACTATTTCAGATTGATTTAGGCAATAATAATCTAAAATAATCTCAAAGATCTTCAATCAAATCCTTGGGACTCCAATTTGTAATCTACATAGGTACAAGTATTGGGTATTGGTGCATGTCGATGTACTTGATCCTCCTCTCTGAAGTGTATGGTACATGGATATGGTAAACGTTGGTGCTTGCAGGTTGAATCATCACAAGTAAGCACTAGAAGATTGATATAAACATTTCTATGTATAACCTTTTGCATAGTTGGTCTTATGCTTCTAGGAGTTCCTTAGGTACTATTTTTGAGTTTTCAAGATTAATAAGTGCAATACCACATTTAAATCATGGGATAGCGCTACTAATATAGTGGATGAACTTTGGAGTCTTCTTAGTTGCTATAATTGCTTTCGTCCAAAGCCTTTAGGCTAAATTGGCCATTTCAAATGGCTACCCTCTAAAAAGTGAGATGTCCCTTTTAATGCATCAATCAATTGGGATCTGGTTACTTTTAAGTTTTAGATTCCCTCATTAAAAATGCTCTACCTTGTAAACTTAAAACTTATTGGCCAAAGAATTAGTTTGCGGAAAATCTAGCTATAAACTTAATTTAGTTCTGAAGTTGTGTTATATTACTTTTGGCTATGAACTCATATCACTTAAAGCACTTATATCATCTTCGCCATGCACTAGTCCTTCTACTTTGGCATCAACCCACCTGTAGGACAACCTGCTCCTCTACACCAAAAGAACAAAAAGAATAAAAAGAAAAATGGTAGGGGTGTGCAAATGTTGAAACCTATGCTCTTGTTGAGATGTCTAATTTTGTGTGTCTGCATGGTTTGTTAAATGGGAGCTTATTTTGGTCTATTTTTAATTGAAACTAGTATTCATACCCGCGCGTTGCACGGAGAATAGTAAATACAATTTTTATGAGAAAATATTACTTGAAAAATACGATACACACAAAGAAGCATGTAAATGATATTATTTTATGGACGTGTAAATGCACTTGATATCCATACATTTAAGTCTATCTAAATTCTACTATTTTTTCTTGAATTACAATTTTATTATTTAAGTACTTGAAGAAACTGAAAAAAATCAAGATAAAGTTTGCATTTAAAATGTTTAAAAATAGTTATCATCTTTTTGCTTTCTTCAATGAACTAGTAGATAATATTATTATATAAACCCATTGACTGATAAATGTTGGTGTAAAAATACGAAAACAGATCAGTAATAATATAATTAATAGGTTGAAAAGTTGCTTCTTTTGATAGATTTATATCCCTTGGAGAATACTTTGGCCGACCAAAAAACCTTGCTATGGTGAACAATTCCATTTTTATATTGTTCGTACCGATTGTCACCGTTTGCGAGAATGCTGAAATTTGCTGGCGTATTTCGGATCATAGAATAATAGGTTTTTAGTTAAGAGGACATTGGTGATGGAGTCAAGGGAAATAAATATATTTTTTTAAAAGACGTGGGTTTTGGGGTTAGATGTTTTCTAGGGATAAGGTTAATTACTTATCTTTTGAAATTTAAATGTTAATTAACTTTTTAGGCATTTTGCCGCTTGAATAGTTTTTGCAGATTTTTGTGTTGATAGTTACAAAATTACATCCAACTTCCACATAACTTAGCAACAAAAATCATAAAAAGAACTTTCACGTCTAGTATAATTAGAAATGCTGCATTTCACAACTATATTAGCAAAATTAACCGCACTAATTCTAAACTAACTAATTTTATTATATTATTTATTTATCTTATCCTAATATCACCAATTGTCTTGAGCAATGCCAAGTGACTTATTATTAGGCTGTCACTTGGCTTAATGTGGATACTTGAAAGAAGAAACCGCATAAATAATTATTTGCATAGGAGAACAGGAATAAGAATCAATCATGGAGGTAGGATAGAATTGTTGTTCCAAGCCCGCATTTTGGAAGATATCAATCGTGAGGTTGAATTTTCTGGTGATTTGTTTTTTCCGTCCTCTTGTTTCTGTGTAAAAAATGTTAAGTATATAAATACATTACAAACTGCAACACAAAAAACGTGGGAAAAAATATTATATTTCTTTTTGCATTGGAAGGTTTAATAAATAAATCAAAAAACTGCCAAACAAATGTGGGAGGAAGTATTAATTTTTTAGAATTGGCAGGTTTAATTTTTTATTTTAATTTTCTATCTTCTATTTTAAAATAATTTTGAAACTTTTGTTGGAGTTTTGTCCTAAAAATTTAAACTTGATATGTTATAGTGATGACACTTAACACAAAATTTTTCGAAATAGTATCAAATCTTTTTGTACAATTCAAAAATCTTCAATTGTCTAAATTTATCAGTAAATTTTTTGAGTGATTACATTATTTTTTCAATCAATTTAAATTATAAATATTCAAATATTATAATTATTTTCTCTTTCTGTACATTTTTCCTACTGCTATAGGATTAGTTTTCCCATTTAGTATTTTACTTATAATTAAAATACCCTTATTTATTTTTTATTAAGTTGTAATTTTGAATTCATCAAAAGTATAAAGAGAGAAACATTTTACTCCATTATTTTGTTCAAAAGTCTAAATAGAGAAGCCTTCTATTATTCATATTCTTCAATTTGTCTTAATTTATAAATAATACTTTGTATATTATAATTTCCTACTGCTATAGGATTAGTTTTCCCATTTAGTATTTTACTTATAATTAAAATACCCTTATTTATTTTTTATTAAGTTGTAATTTTGAATTCATCAAAAGTATAAAGAGAGAAACATTTTACTCCATTATTTTGTTCAAAAGTCTAAATAGAGAAGCCTTCTATTATTCATATTCTTC